CTGTTTCGTCGGCGGGGCCACTTCTGGGGTCGTCGGCCCCGGCTCCTCTAGGAGCGCGCCGTCCCCCGGGTGGCAGGCTTCCCCACCGCGGCGTTTCCTAACTCAGCCCCTGGCAGGCTCGCGTTAGAGCCTCGCCCTGAAGACGTTTCTTACGGGGAGACTTCTCTCTTTGTCGGTGGAGCTCAGTCTCTCGGAGATGAGATGGAAAGTTCCTCGAGAAGTCAACACCCGTCTTTTGGGAGGTTCAAATCTGGTACTAAGTCAGGGAGAGCGCTCAGGAGACGGAATGCAAGAGGGACCCCGGGGTCCAGACCTCCGTGAGCGCCCACGGTTCCTTTATTTCATACGTTCTCGGAGCACCTGCTGCGCAGCCAGCGGGGCGCCTGAGACCCCGGACCCGTTCTCCCGGAGCAGTGAGCCGCTACTGAGAGACTCTGATAATCACTCAGCAAGAAAGGCGGGTTTTGTTTTGTTTAATGAAACGTGAAGAAAGTAGAGCGGAGCTGGCCAATGGGGAAGACTTGTCTGAAAGGGCTCTCTGGCTGTGTTTGTCCCCAACGGTCCCTCGGCACTGTTGAAACGTCCACACCAGCCGCTGGTCTTTGTGCGAGTTTTCAAGTAGTGGACGGAGTCGGTCGTGCTTGCCGAGTGGCTCTCCGGGGGGAGATCGTCTGGATCGTTGTTTTAAGTGCTTAGAACCTTCTGTGATTCCTCTGCTTGGGAATCCCACGGAGTAGAACATGGAAGACCCCAGCGTCTAAAACACTGGCCCAGTAGTGCCTGTCCCTTTCCCGTCCTCTGTTCTGGACATCTGTGGTTCAAGGAGAACCTTTAGGAACCATTGGGGGGAAATTATGTTGGAGATTTAACTGTAGCTGAATCTGGAGCTATAAATCTTCAGGTTTTAAGTGTCAGATTGTTTCCCTTTCTTACTTTTCCTGTCCGCGGGGAATTTCACTGTTATCAGTGAGCAAGGGATACTGACAGCCCGCTGTGGTATGTGTCGGGTAGGTTGGGAAGGAGTCATTTTCTGCCCATTAAGACCAGATGGAAAACTACAAATCAGCAGTCTGATTTTGGTTGTGTTGTTCCTAGAAAGAACTAGTAGGGAAGAGATTCTCCAACATTGTATAATCTGTTTTAAAAAAAAAGAGTGTAACAAATTGTTTTACAAAAAAGCAGACTTTGTTGCGCATCAGCAGAGAGGACAAAGTGGAAGCCGAAACAATGATTCTGTTTGTAGGTGGCACTCCCCCAGACTTGCAAGAGGAATCTTCTAGGGAAACTTTGAAACTGTATACATAGTGCTGTGGCATGCACCCTGTCTTCGTTTTCGTTGGAGTTTTTTTGCTTTTTTTTTTTTTTTAAATGATTGGGACCAGCAGTTGGCATAATGGCTATGTCTCTGGACTCCCATGTAGTCACCCGCGGTTCAAGTCTCGGCCCTGGCGGCTTAAACTCCCGCCCGGCATGTGTGCGTGCGTGCCCAAGATCCGGAGAGGAGAATGGAGGAGAAGGGATTGTGGCGTGGCCATCCCCCTTAGGGGGTGCTTTCTCACTTTCTGTCTCTCTGTCTCTGTCTTTCTGACGAGCGCACGCGCCCTATAGCAAAAACCTCTCCAAAAACATAAAAAAAAGGTTGACAGCCATCTCCTTAGATCAAGGTAAGGCAAATTGAAGCCAAACTGGAAGGTATATGTCTTAGGAAGAATTAGAAGTTGCTTGCATTGCTAATTATGTAAGGCAGATTGGGGGACCAACAGATGGTGTAATGGTTATGACATTGCTGAACTACCAATGTAGTCGACTACAGTTCAAATCCCAGACCCGGCAGCTTAAGACTCACACCGGGTTCGTGTCCATGTTGCCCAAGGTCCTGAAAGCAGAATGGAGGAGAAAGGATTGTGGTGTGGCCGTCCCCCTGGGGGGTGATTTCTCACTTTCTGTCTCTCTGTCTCTGTCTCTCCAGCAAGCACATGCACCCTATAGCAAAAATCTCTCTCAAAAAGGAAAAAAAAAAAGGCAGATTAGGGGTTCTCCCCAAGAGATCAAAGTTTTCTTTCTCCAGGTTTAAAATCTGCCATTAATTTAGGAAGAATGCTTAAAAGACAGAAGTTTGTGAAAAATGAAAGAAGGACCCAGTGGTCTAGACCTAATGAGGGCCTGTGATTTCATGTATTTATTTTTGAGCACCAACCCTGTATCAGGCATTGTGCTGAGCCCTGGGATTTAGCCTGATTCCCTGTAGTTGTTGGGCGATTGGACATGGTGACGGCACCTGTCAAACGGCCATTTAAGACGAAAGAGTCTCTGCAAGTGAGGTGTAGTGATTTGCCTCTGTTCAGTGAATTCTGGCACACCTGAACCTGGACAGACCATAGTGCTTAACGGTCAGTATGTTGTCTCTTAAAGAAAAATACCTAAAACTGTTCACCAAAAGTGGCAATGGGTTTAAAGATGTTACTGTGGACCAGCCGGTGGCAGAGTGGTTAAGGCGCTGGATTCCCACATGGCTGACCCTGGGGCCTGTAGCTTGAAAATCACGCTGGTCACATGTGCATGCGTACCCAGAATCCCGAGAGGAGAATGGAGGAGAAGGGACCGCAGCGTAGTTATTCCCCCGGGTGTGACTTCTCACTTTCCCTCTCTGGCGAGAGCATGCATACACTATGGCAAAAACCTAAAAACAAAACAAATTATGACGTAGGTGCATCATGCTGCATGAGTGTGTTAGGGCTGTACCGTCTAACTTTGTGTAAGTGCACCAAAATTCCCCAACAACAAAACCACCTGACGATGCGTTTCCCAGAACATATGCCTGTTGTTAAGCAATGCACATTATAACCGAAGTGCGTGCTTCTGTCGGACAGGGAGAGTCATCAGTTAATCGTGGTAACAAGCCTACCAGTTTCTAAACCTCTGTCGTCGCTGAGTATCACCTCCTGGTGCCCTGTGGAAAGCCTGACAGCTATGCTAGGGAGAGTCTATAGTCTTTTCCCTATGCTCCAGTTATATGTCTATCGAAGAACTGGCAAGAAGTATCATTTTGTGTCCATAAAGAGTAATTTGTTGGCATCTTTTAGTAAAAGCTGCCTAATAACCTGATGAAACTGAGTCTGCCAGTGGAAACACTTTAATCCTCTCTAATTTGAGTATATTGGAGTGCCTTAACTGGGCAAGGAGCTTTCTGTGTTTGGGATTCTGCAGCCCCATTTAGGTACCTGTGTGTAGCCAGTATTTAGGACTTACTTTTTACCTTCGAGGGTCCCGGATCTGAGGAGTTGTGTTGTTCTGTTCGCTCTCTCTCGTTAATTAAAATCTCAGAACACACATTTAAAAGTCTCCAATAAGCTTGGTATTAGGCAGAGAACTGACATTAAAGCCCAACAAAACTGTGTTTAGGTCCTGGTTCTTCCACTTAACTTGCTGTAAGGACCTGGAGAAATCACTTCATTTCTGTGAGCCCCCGCCTTATTTGAAAACTAAGGATAGTAGTGGGACCAGCAGTTGGCATAATGGCTAAGTCACTGGACGCCCATGTATTCGACTGTGGTTCAAGTCCTGGATCTAATAGCTTGAACTCACGCTGGGCGTGTGCATGCGTTCCCAAGAGAATGGAGGAGAAGAGATTGCAGTGTGGACATCCCCCCTGGGGGGTGATTTCTCACTTTCTGTTTCTCTGTCTCTCTTCTGTCTTTCTTGGGAGTACACATGTGCCCTATTGCAAAAAACTTCTCCCCCCAAAAAAGAAAAGAAAACTAAGGATAGTAGCAATACTTGTGAGGCGTGTACACAAGATATCACTCAGCCTCTGGTAGGCTTTTAATAACTGTTGCTAATGATTTCTTTTTAGTTAATTCCAGATTTCCCCTCACCCCCATTGGCAGGAGGAAAGGTGGTTTCAAGGAGAGATTTTTTTTGCCTTTTTTTCCTTTTTTTAACATAACATGCTCTCACCAGAGAGACAGAAGGAGACAGAGAGACAGAAAGTGAGAAATCACCCCACCCCACCCCAC